ATAACCTCAGACTGACAAAAGCAAGCTCCTTAAAGATGCAGCAAAAATCACTTCATCACTGTTTCATGCATTTTAGTTTAAAGGACTATTAAGAACCCATTCTTTCTGATAGAATTCTATTTTGATCTCCACTTTTTTTTCCTTCGGGAGCTTGAAAAATAAGATTTCTCTCTCTCTGCTTTTTTTTTTTTTCCTGTTTCTATCTGAGCAATGATGACTTTTTTTTTTTTCCTGTGCTTCTAAGAGAGTTGACATTAAAATGTCTAGTTCCTATTCTCTTTCTGTTGTATTTGTGCATCGGAGCCATTCACAATTATGTCAGCTCAGCTCTGGGCATTGTCTCTGCTAGTTCAATTCCAGCTGAATTGCTGGAGCTAGCAGGACATTAGCATTCACTTGATTGATTTGGCATACCCAGAGAATAAGATGAGTTTTGCATTCAGCTACACACATTAAAAACTGAAGAAATTATAAAGCAGTCCAAAGTTGGTAAGTTCTTTTGGAGTCACACATCTTTTGCGTCTCATATATCTTCCTGTGCTTGAGGGCACCATTTAAATAATGGCTATTTCAATGCCAAGCTCTTCCTTGACAGTGCTCATGGATGAAAGAAGAGCGAAAAGTGATTTAAAACTATTGTTTAACATAGTTAATCAATTCAACAGATTTCAAGGCTAAACGAGCATATTATGCACTATCTCCTATAAAATGTGGGCTATACAATTTCATCTTGTAATTCCAGCATTTTGTCCGACAACTGGAGAGAACACTTTTTCAGAGGTAAATACTTCAACCCCAGTTTTGAAATTAGTATTAAAAATATAACACTGTATCTCTTGATGGCTTTAAAATTTTCTTCCTTTGTCCAGTGCCTACCCCTGTGACAAGGTTTTGGTGTCCGATGCGGCTGTGCACGCTTGCTCAAGATGCACACGACCTATGAAGAGTCCACGTCTTTCCAGATTCCAGATTTTGAGTGTGAAACTAAAGTGAAGAAGAGGATGCAGGGCAAAATTTTCAAATGAGGGGGCTAAAGTTTGGCTCCAGAATCTATCCTTCTCCAAAAGAAATGCTCAGCTGAGCAGCTCCCTGTGAAGTGAATGAAGAAATCTGGCTTTACCTACCTGTGAACTAAAATCTCCACCTCACTATTTTATGACTTTAGAACAGGGATTCCCAAACCTTTTCCAACCATAGGATTGAAGACCTCAGCAGACAAGTTTGTTCAATTATGCACTTTATGGGCTGAATGAAATAATGGAAGTGCCAGGTATGTAACAGAACAGTAATAGTTGACCTCTTCATAAAAGCCCTTTTCTTGCACTGTCTCTGTTGGCATCAATGGGAGTTCAGCTATTCGATCATAAACTCACTTGACCTCCTCTCCTGATGGAGTCAGATGGACAGGTAAAACTTGTGTGTTTTCCAGCAGCTTCAGCATCATAAATACATGGGTGATGTGACAACAAAGTCAACTGTCCCAGTTCAACCATACCTCTGCATTTCTCATTATTTCAACAGTATCTTCTGATTAGGGGTTCCTTCTATATGGCATATAGCTCAACTGGTGTTTTAACTGCCCAGAAAAGTCTGCAATAGCTCACCTCTAACTTTGGTTACCCACTCGGAATGTTACTGCACTGCTCTAGCCCAGCCTCTCTGCTGCACACTTACCTAACAGAGAGACAGATGAGTCTGTTTCCAAGAGAGTGGACAGTCATTTGTGATCATTAACAAGCAGTCACTGTAAGAGATGACAATTCATGTGTCAGCTGAAACATTTTGCATTAATTGGAAGAAAGTTCCTATCAAATATGTTTTGATAATAGCCAATCTCTCATGGACATTTCGGACCACACAGTGAGAACATTATGTTTGATGTCTTTCCTTGGAGGCAAGAAAGAGCATCAGAAGGCAAATGCAGCTGCAGGCAGCGAGGAAAGACAAACAGAAAACAGCAGGGGATCAGCTGTCTGTCGAGACAAGCAACGAGCCGGGGAGCAATTCAGCTCTGTCAGCAGTTTAGATCCTGGCACAGGTCTGTAGTTTCAAAAGCTGCTATTGTTTGAGAGCGTGGTAGAGATTACTGCAAAGGATCGGTAGGAAGTAAGGGGTGAAGCTGCAGCTAATGAACATCTCAATGGACAGCAAGCCAGTGCTCAAAGCTGAAATCTGGCCGATGATACTCTGTGTGCATACGTAACTGCACGTTTTAATACAAAACTAATGCACAGCCATTTGAGGTGATCTTGGAGGAGTCGGTTCTCCTGGTTCATTCCTACCGTGTGGCTAAGCATCTCCCTTGGCTTTCCTCACCCAACCTCCATCTTAGGGCTGGCCCTTCCTTGCTTATGACATTTGACTGGTTCCCAGCCCATGGTGGAATGGCTTCAAACACTTATCTCCTGCAGTTTTTAAAAACAGTTTCTTGTAGTAATTTGAGATGGATAGTTTACAGGAGTACATGTATGTCTAAATGAGTTCTAATATAGCTCCAGAATACTTAACAATGGCTGCTGTGAGATCTTATGCATTACTATACCATTTTAGCCCTTTTAACACAAAGCAACAGCTTCAAGCAACACAGAAGGCAGAAGAGTCTCTTCAGGTTTATAACATGTTTTACATGCTGCTTAAACTTTCTCTTCACTGATCTGCTGCTGGATAAAAGCAATGTTGAAAATGTATTAAAGCGCCAGTCAAGATCTGTAACTACATTAGTCATTCTGTCAGAGCCTTGGAAAGAACCTCACTGAAGTCAAGCAGGAAAACAATTTGCTGAAGCATCAGCTGAAGCAGTGAATCGCAACTCATTCAAATCTGTCTGAAGTACACGATCAGGCAACTGCTGAAGCCCTGAAAGCCACAACTGATTCTGCAAACAGGAGATACGTAAAACAAACTTTGAGCTGACCTCTAATCTCTGGTATGTGATAACAACCCGAGTGTCCACCTATTTATACCTTAAAGGCAGCCAGGTGGGAAAAGATAGGATGAGTGACGTTCCTTTAGTGTGGCAACAGCTACCTGAACATACAAACTGACAGTATTCTCCTATCACAGTGTGGAACTGGGGTTTAGCTCCACCGAATGGAGCCAATCTGGACATACAGTGATCCAACCAAAATCACTGTTTTGTAACATTTTTACCTGAAACACAAGCAATGATTCCCCAGGCCCAGAAGAGTCAAGCAATCGATATTCTGACAGATCTTTTTGCCAAGGTAACATCGTTAAGCTTTGATGTCTACAGTACAACCATGAGCCTAAAAAAAAAAAAAAAAAACTTACCTGAATAACTGAGGCATCTGGGGAACCCAGCCAGATGCCAGAGAATGCAGAGAAGCTCAGTTGTAAATTGACTTAAATAAAACCCACCAAGTTCAGCCAACCAGGGCATACCTTACAATATAGGGAAAACCTACCTAGGACTTTATCCTAACCACTATGTTGGCCTAAGAGTACACTATGATCAGCTAATAAAGAGATAAAATATGTAAAACCTTTTTTTTTTCCCCCTCAAGAGGCTGGTGGAAAAGGGGAGCTAACTATTGTTCAGTGATGCTCCTTCAAATCAGGTGTCAATCCTAAATTCTTGAGATACGATGTGTAGAAAGTGATTCTGACATGCCTCTTTCAATCTGGAGCTCAGGAATAATTACCACTAAAGGAAAGAAAAAGTTATGTGAGCAGAAAAACGTTTTGGGTTTACTCTTTAAATGTTAACTGATCTCGTGTGTGTGTGTGGTGCTCCATGCCAGGGAAAAGGAAAACAAGTGAAACGTACTATGCTTCCAGCACACCGTATTTTATTAGTTTGGAAATTTAGGGCAGCATATCTCATCAGTGTCAGCAGATGTGATGCTGGATACGGTTTAAGGCCGGTTCTGCCTTTCCTTCGCCGCCCCGTCCCCATTCGCCTACCTTCCGATTTAAAAGCAGCGAGATCGCGCTAGAAGAAACTCAAAAGTCAGGTAAAAACCTCCGCAAAGCGGTTCAGGTTAGCACCGTCAACAAGAGCCAAGCAGCCGCCGCGGGGCCGAGGCCGCCCCAGCCCGCGCTCGGCCGGGGAG